ATTTCCATTCAAGTCAATGGGCAAGTCTCCCATTGACTTTAGGTGGGAAAGTCCAGGATAATGCTATGATTTTTTTTAATTAAAGCAGTATTTGCGAGCACTTGAGTTACATAACAATAAATCAGTCTCATATTGCCCTTTGCCTCCCTTATGACTCTTATAAATTCAACTGTACCATGTAATCCTTGGAAGGTAAAAGGTTGGATTGACAGATCCCATCACAAGTGGATTTGTATTTTCTAATTCCATTCTTGCTTGTTTAGGACCTGATCTAAAGCCCTTTGAAATCAACTAGTCCCATTGGTTTCAGTAGATTCTATTCTATATCTGTTCTTACACCACATTCATGGCTGTAATATCTGAGCATCTTCCAGTAATGCATTAAGTAACATGACTACATAATTCTCATTTATTCTTCTCTGAACCTCTCCCCAGGGGCGCAAATGTGTAGTGGAGTGTCTTGTTTTGGTCAGTTTTTTAAATAAATATTCACATTGTTCGGTGTGTGTTAGGGGAGGCAAGTCAAAAAAGGATGCCTTGCACTTGAATAGGAAGGCGATGCAGTTTGTGATGGTCTTTAGTTCCTGGGGGAATTTATTCCAAAGTCTCCAATCTGCCCCCAAGAGAGTTTTGTCTCCTGCACAGACAAGCTTTACCTTTATTTACTTTCCTTTGTGCCAGAGGGGTGTAGTTGTTGATCACAGTCTTCAACTCAGAGTTTCAGGTCGTTTTTTAGATATGTTCAAGGAGCTCCATGGCCTGGGACAACTATAAGGACTGAGACTTGAACTTGATTTGAAATTCTATGGGAAGTCAGCGTAAAGAGTAGAGAACAAGCCTGAAGTTCTTGCGGTAGCCTGTGTTGCTGAGGAGATGCTCTGCAGAGTTCTGTACTAGTTGGAGTTTCCTAAGTGCTGAAAGCTTCATGCCCAGGTATATTGCAGTGCTGTCGTCCAGCCAAGAAGTGGTGAAGGCATGAATAGCTGAGGTTAGGCCATCATCTGCCAGAATGGGACAGTCTCCTAGCCAACAAGAGATGATAGAAAGCATTAATCACAGATGTTGCTTTGTTAGAACTTAGCATCAGTAAAGAATCCAAGAGTATTCTAGATCATGAACCAAACTGACCAAATGTGGATGAGTACCTTCAACCAAAGAAGAATACGCTGTAGCTGCAAACTCCTCCAAATTCTTCCTTCTGCCCACCAGCATCACCACTGTTTTGCTTGTATTCAGTTTCAGCCAGCTGTTCATCCTGAGCTCAACTTGGTGGTAGTGATGTGGTTGTATGTGGTGAAGAATAGTTAGACCTATGTACCATAGGCATATTGCTGGCTCTTGAGTTCATGCCGTTTGATCAGTTCACCTAATGGATGACTGTAGATGTTGAAAAGGAGCAGAGAGAGAACTTATCCTTGTGGGACTTTACAAGCAAGGGGTCTAGTGGTGAAGATGCAGTTTTCCATCACTTCTCATTGGGTATGTCCCTTCAGAAAGGACTCAACCCGTTTTAGCACACTACCTTGGATAACAGTTCTATAGCCAAACTGATCTGAGGTGAGAAAAGGGTCTTTTTAAAAACATCAAGATTTCATTTAATAGACTTGAGAGAGGTAAGCATGAGACTGAATCTGCTTCTGGAATGCTGGTGGTGGATTATGATTTGCTCCAGTTTATTCATTATTTCAATGTACTACTTTCTGGAAGAGAATAAGAGAGGATTTGCATGCATGATGGATTGAAAATGAACAGTTTGGCAGCAATATCCAGTAGCCCAGATTCATAATTCAACCTGATCTTTTTAGTTGTGATTGGTCAGATAAATCATATGCTATTGTTTCTGTTCTCTGATTGGATGAGTGTAACTCTAAGGTTTGGGAGAAGGACTTCAAGAAGCCATGTGAACTTTGATTATCTCAGGGAGAGGTAGCAATTTATGGTGAGGGAGCAAGATATAAGCAGCATTAGGTTATTTGTATAAAATGTGAAGAACATAGGCGCCGACTCCATGGTTGTGCCAGGGCTGGAACACCTACAGAAAAAAAATGGTGGGTGCTTAGCACCCACTGGCAGCCAACTCCCACCTCCCGTCTGCCGGTGGCCCTGCCAATCAACTTCTCCCTCTCCCTCCCAGTGCATCCTGCCTGCTGTGATCAGCTGTTCTGCGGCATGTAGCAGGTGCTGGGGGGAGGGGGAGGAGCAGGGATGGGGCACGCTTGGAGGAGGGAGTGGAATTGGGCGGGAAGAGGCGGGGTGGGGGCTTAAGGGAAGGGGTGTGGCGGGGCCTGGGGCAGAGCGGAGGCGGGAAGAGGCAAGGTGGAGATGGGGGGTTGACAGAAGGGGGCGGGTGGGACGGAGAGGGGCAGGAAGGGGTGGGGTGGAGGCTTGGGGGAAGGGGATGGGTGGGGGCAGGGCACCCCCGGGGCCTGGAGGAAGCTGGCGCCTGTAGTGAAGAAGTCTTTTTCCTTTATGAGACACACAGGTAGAGGTGCCACAAGGAAGGCAGGGGCAGAACAGGATGAAGCCCCCACTCACTGCCAAAACATTCGGTAAAATTTTGTCCTCCAGCTGGGAATTCAGCTGCTGCTGCAGCCTCAGAGGCTGTGCAGTGCCAAGCTGGTAGGTGGTCTCCCCATGCCCCTGGAGAACAGCAGTGGTGGAGTAGCTCAGGCTGCTACTGGTGCCAGCTGGCGGGGGTGGCGCTGCCACTAGGACTCTGTGCATGCTGCCCATGGGGCAGAGGGGATGCCGGTTCTGGGGATGGGGGGTGGGATGGCTGGGGAATGGCATTACCATTGCCAGACCTTTTTTACTGTGCAGCCTGCCCAGGCCCCACTCAAGAGCCCAAGCTCTGCTGCTGTTGCCTAACAACATCTGGGACGACACGGATTGGCTCCAGGCTGGCTCAGTCCCAGGTGTCTAGCCAGATTGAAAGTCCCAGACTGGCCACCACAGGGTGCTAGCACAGAGTGGGGGCATGGATCAGAAAAACAACAACCCCAGCCAACAATTCAACTTTGTGACTCAGGATCAGATCTGGTAAGGCCCATCCCCCCCGCCCCGCCCTTGACCCACCCAATTGAGGCCCTTTAACTCTCCCCCAGGAGCATCTACCCCAATCTCCTCCATTTGTCAGGATCTCCTCCCCCAAACCCTTCGATCCCACTCTACCCCTCCAAAATTCCCCCCCCCACACCGAACTCCAGTTCCTGGTCCCCCACAGCCTCTATGCCACTCCCTGATTCTAGTCACCCCCAACCACCTTCATCCTATTCCTCACTCCAGTCCCACATAAACATATCTCATGGCTCCATTCCTGCAGACATAGCTGTGGGACCCACACCTCTTCTTCTGTCTCCTTAAATACATTCCACCACTTGCCCCTCAGTTCCCGATGGCTCATTGGACTGTTTGCTCCTTCTTGCTTGTGAAAGGGACATAGTCAACTCCCTGGATTTTCAGAAAATAACCAAAAATTGGAGTGGAATGAAATCGTGGAAAATTTCCCTCGATTAACAATTTATCAGTCCAGACATTTAAAGTAAAAATTACTACATAATTTGTTGCTTCTTCATAGGCTGCAGAATTGCTGTTTTAGTTAGTTCACAAAGCTGATATCATTCAGTAAAATTTCAGGAAACTTTAGGTAAGTTTTTGAGACGTCACCCCCCATACACCTGAAACCCCAAGTGGTGCCTGACACGTCGTCCCGGTGACAATTAGGCTACTGGAAGATTTGTCGTCTAGTGCAGAGTTTAAATCACATTCACACAGAGGAGCTGCTTGTGCATGTGCTGTCCTGTACTCAAAGGATGCATCAGATACTTATCTGGCTCATTTTAATGTCCCATGCAAAGGCCCCGATGAGCAGTGTCTCTCTGTTGTGTCAAGCAGCCTACATTGCTATATAATCTATATAATTCCTGGTATGAATATGTAAATGCGAGAGCTTAACATTCCACTTTCTGGATGTTCATGGAAAGTAGACATAAAAGGAGTCCAAGCATGGCTGACATGAGTTCATTTTAAAATTCAGGTGGAGAGCTCTTTGGAGCATTTGGCGAGCTCAGATACACATGGACAGAAAGAGAATTAATCATTGTAGTGGCACAAAGCCAGATGAGAAATAGAGCACTAAATTTCCCCCTTTATTCTCTCCATAGAACCACTCTTGGACAATCTAGATACTGCACTAATATCAAATGCCTAACAGAGTGGGGGTATATTTAAAAACAATTAAGAGGGGACATACCATAAAGATTTGTACAGTGTTTTCAGGCTTCTTTTCTGTTGGGATGGGATTGTTGAATGTTCTCTGCAGATAATCATAGTCAGCCTGTCTCCTGATTTACAAATTACCTCTATCAAACCCAACCAAACATACTATTCATGCTCCTGGCAGGAATAAACTATGTGGAGAGGAGAAGGATTGTGTATGGAGGACACTGCAACACATCAGAATATAAGTGCAGAACAATGCTGCTTTTGTGCTCCCCAGCTTGGGAGCATTCTTGCCTTGGGAGAGAATATTGGTGGTGGTCTGTGAAGATGTTGGATCACTGTCGATTAAATAAACTCACCCCTTTTAAGGTCTGATCCAACTCCATTGAAGTCCAGGGGAGCCTTTCTGTTCACTTCAATAGATGTTGGGTGGGGCCCTTATATGTTTGATCAAATGATGAGGATTGAGCAATAAACTGTCACTGGTGCCTGTGTAGATATTGAAAACTGAATTCCATTGGTGCAAGAAAGAAATGCATATCTGGTTCCTTCGTAGTGGAGCGCAGAAAAGGACACTTCTGATTCCTTGCACCCATATTTCTATAGTTCTCAGACCTGGGAAAAGAATAACAGAATATTCTAAACATCTGCTGCATTGGAAGGATTGGAATGCCATCATACGGAAGCAAACTATTTTATTCATTGTGTAGTTATTAGCCATTGTTAAATACATTTGACAGTGAAAAAAAGTAAAACTTGTTTTTCTTTTCATCCTACAGCTAAAAATGGCAACAAGAAAGGTGAGAAAAACAAGAAAGGGAATGAGAAGATGCCAGATGGTGATTATGAAAGTCGAAGGGTCTATGAAGACGTCAGAGAAAGTACGTGTAGAGTTTCTAAAGTACCTTTTGGAATTCTTGGTTTAGCTGCTACTCTCTCCAGTCACATTTAAATTAAATTACAAAAGATATTGAAGAGTGCTGTGAAATATCTAGATGCTGCGCTGATTATGAAATGGCGTGCTGAAATAACCTATGTTAGCACAGCGTGCGACAAAAGGTGGGGACAAGGAACCACACTGTGTTAGTGTGGATGAAGTGAGATACAATGTAAGGTAAGGGGCCTAATTCTCATTTCCATTAAGGCCTCTTTTAACCCCACTCGAGCAGTAAAAGGGCCCTTACAGTAAGTATCCCTCTTTGTGTGTTTAATGGCACCACAGTGTAAATGAGAATGAAGCCCAAGATATTTTTATCATTTATAAAAGAACAAGGTATAGTTTCATTTAAAACAAAGAGTTTGGTGCTTTAAGAATGGTGCTAGATTAAGAGCTGTCTCTCTGGAACAGCAACAGTGAAATATTTCCCATTCTGCCATATCAATATGCCTTAAATCTGATCTGGAGGGTTCACCTCAATGTATGTGAGACTGGAATAGCCAAATGCTAATTGTGAGTGTGGTTTCTGTATTATGGATGCTTGTCCACTGTCATCTGAACTGATATTCCAGTTGATTTCACGAAAGCTAGCAAACTCCAGTAGGCTGTCATGATTTGCAATTATTACAAACCTCAGGTGAAATTGAATCAATGATCTAGCAGAGAAAGGCTTCATAATATCTTGAGAAATCCAGCCTTCCTTATATTTATGGGAATTGACAGCATGTGCATACTATGAACTTCTATTACTAGCATGGAGATTCAGACCAGCCCCGGAGTAACGTGAATCTGATCTCTGCTCCTGCTTCCCAGAGTCCTAAGGTGTTTTTAAAAAGTTGTGGGTTTTTTTAAATAAAAGTTTTGAAAATATTTTCATGTGCAGGTGTATGAACCTAAATTTCTTTCTCAGTATGTCTATTCAGTGGTTTCTCATTCATGGAGATGGAAAATATTCCAATTCTATTGAATAGTTTCTGATTAATTTAGTTTTTTCCCATTATGACTTACTCAAACATTTTGATTTTCATTAATGTGAATTGTCCAACAAATGTTTTATGTGAATATATGTCAGCCTATAGGCTGTTTGCGAATTATCTGCGGTGCGTGACTTGGCCAAGATCAACTTAATATTCCTCTGATTCTCCAGAAGAAGAACCAGCTATAAAAAATAGTACAGTTGAAATTCTCACAAATTTTAGATTTAAAGGAGCTTTAATCATTTGGATTGTTTTGTATATGGGTGAATTTCAAAGACTCCAAGTATCTTGAAAGGAAAGACAGTCTTGTGGTTAAGTCAGTAAACTGGAATTCAGGAGATATGGGTTCATTTCCTGACTTTTCCACAGACAATCAATGTGGCCCTAGACAAGCATTTAACCTCTCCATACCTCAGTTCCCTGTATGTGAAATGGGGATGATAACATTTCCTATGTCTGACTTCTCTATTCAGATTGTAAGGTTTGATGGTATGTGGAGATATTCCAGAGAGTGACAATTTCTTTTCCACCTGCCACTGACAGAGTAGCTCCCTGGGCCTTCCCCATCTTTTTACTACTGCAAGCTCCCTAGCTCTCTCTGGCTTCTCAGTTCTCCTGATCCTTGGATCCATGGAGAGGGTATGTGTGGGCTTCCATCCCTAGCTGCTTCATGCACCCCCATGGAGGAGACCTGAGGGAGCCTCCAGCCCCACTAATCTCAGTGCTTTCCATGGGGTCAGGAAGCATATCTTCAGCTTCTGCTGCTTTTCCTGGTCCCACTGAAGGGGTCAGGGGGAATCTTGAGGGCCTCCTGCTTGGCACCTGCTACAGCCACCAGCCCCATGGAGACTAAGGCTAAGTGTTTTGTTCCCACTGCTCCTACTGCTCTGCCCAACTCAGACTGAGCAGGAGACTAAGGGGAGTCTCCAGCCCCAATACCTCTGATTGGCTTCCAATATTTTGTTTGGCCCTGAAGCAGGGTCCTGGAGGGAGACTACAGATCCATTGCTGCTCAACCTCATTTCTTTTACCTCCTTGTCTATGCTTCAGGAAACAAAACGATCTTCCTCCTTGACTCCATTCCCCTTGATTTCTATGGAAGTTGAGTAGGGAGTGTTGGGCTGGGCCCAGTATCTCCTACCTCTAAAACACTGAGTTTTACTGTAAACCATCTGAGTGCATGACTCACTACAGCATGTTGGGAAATGACACTTTGGAATGTGAACACTTGAAAACCAACTAGTTCATTCTTTTCCAGCAATTAAAGTATATTTATGTTCACTTCTTCAGAGAGAGCCTATATTACGCTGACAGTTTTACAGCCTTGCTTTACTGTCAGTGTCTTCCTAAAACATCTGTCAAATGAGGGGGAAAGTTCAAAATATATTAAAACTGTAGATGTGCCTAAACCACAAATGTCAGCTCTGGATTGTGAACTTCTCTCCCCACCCCAACTTTTGAATGGTGGGTTGAGATTATCTCATAAAAGTGAGGGGGGGCATCTACAAAGCTCAATACCGGATCCAGGATCAGATTTGAAACCTCCAAAATATTTGGGGGTTGTTTGAATCTGAATTTTGACTCAAGCCCATCCTTCTTTGTAAACTGTATTGTAAGCTTGCACTTACGGAAATCAAAATGGATTTACTGGGACACTGCAGTTAACAACTCCAGCATGCAAATAGAGCTTAAATTCTCAGCCTTTTCTTTCTTTTCATAATTGATAGATGATGTAAAATGTTACCAGGGACAAACAGAATGATAGTTGTCATCCACTTAGCTGGCTGGCCTGAGCACTGTGTTCTGAAGTACACAAGAAAAAAAACGCTTTTCTTGTGTTCTTTAAATTTTTTTATGCTCCAAGCCAAAGTTTCATTTAGAAGCTCTCAGTGCCAAAAATATAACATTGCTTAGGCAAATTTTTCTGAATGTTGGAATGTCTAGAAGAGACTCAGACAACTCATAAGTCAGTCATCCCAGCATGGTGAAGCTCAATCTTAAATTGCATTCAGACAATCCCAGTGGTGCTCTACTGGTGCAGCAGCCTTCAATCTGCCCTAGCCTGTCACGGGAGGTTCACCCTAGTCTAGGGGATCTTCTGGAGATGTAACGCCAAAGTAGCAGCTCTTATCCCATGCACATTCCCTGGTGCTGATGAATTGGGTGTGGCCGGGGAACAGGAGAGTAGCCAGGGCTTCACTCTGTCCTGATGATTCCTGGCTGTCTAATGGAACCTGGGGACTTTTGGCAGCAGGGAGACCAGCCCAGCGCATCGTCAGCCTGAGCTCTAGGGAACAAGGACTTAAAGCCACTTATGCAGACAACCTCCACCTCTCCTCCAGTTGCTCTGTATGCTCCTTGACAGCAGGTGAGGATTGCAGCCTCAGTCTCTTCCACATCCCTCATTTGAAGGGCGAGATTCTCACTGCTGCTCCAGAGTAGCTAGACTGGAGTGGTGTAAAGGGCCCTAAAATCCTGATTTCATCTGGTGGGAGGATTTCTGCAACTCAGATACTGTGGAAGTCAGCTGTAAGGCTGACTTTCAAGGACCCCTTGCAACCTTGACCTCAGGGGTAGAAAGAGACATGATGGAGATGGGAAGGATATTTCAAGGGCAGAATCACAGCACACGGTACTGCAAGGATTCTAGGCAGTGCTGTGACCTGTAGGGCAACTGAAGGAGGATAAGGTGAATTTGACAGACCCTTGTAGCACAAAACTTGCAGGCCAGGGCGAAGGGAGGCTAAGACAACTTTATACCACCATTATGCTTTTCTGATCCCAGGAGGCCCCCCCAGCCTAACTTTCCCTGAGTTCTTTGCTGCCCATTCACACAGGGAGAGCAGCACCAAATGGTCAGCTTTTCTGGCTCTGCGATGTCATTCCTAGAAGTGGTGGCAATGACAGAAACGGGCATTAAAATTTACCAAAGGACACAGCATCATCCCAGTACTGCAAGGGCAAAAATATCTTCCCTACCATGTAGTACATGGGCTATGTTAATGGGGAGTTCGTAATCAGAAGTACCATAACCTTGGTTTGTTTTAAGAGAGAGTTGGACAAATATATGGGTGCAATTATATGATGGGGTTATTTGTGATGGTAGGGGCCAGGACTCAACAGACCTGGGGCTTCACTTATGTTCCAAAAAACTCATGCTTCAGGGTTTCAGCTGGCCACCTGCAGAGGTCAGGAAGGAATTTTCCCCCTAATGTATTCTGGGATTTTTTTGTCTCCTTCCTCTGAAGCATCAGGGGTGGTCACAGTTGGAGATGGACATTGGACGGGGAGGGGGGGCAGTGCTTTGAGGTGGCACTGAGCATTCTCTCAGTTGTGTAGCTGGCTGGTTCTTGCTCACATACTTAGTGTCTAACTGATCACTATATGTGGGGTTGGGACGGAATTTCCCCCAGGCTAGAATGGCAGTGACTTTGGGTGGGGATGAAGGGGAGGTTGTCTTCCTCTGCAGAGTGTGGATGCAGGTCACTTGCCAGGATTTTTTGTGTATATTGCATTTAATTATTTCCCTGCCAATGTGGGGGACCTCGGGCACAGGGCCACCTTGATCCCTCCTATTCTCTGCCATAACAGTCTAGTCTCCTGTGGGCTGTAATACGTCGGTCTAATTTTGATTGTTGGATTTAGTGTGTGTGTGTGCTGAGTGGTGTTGGTGGTCTGTGATGTACAGGAGCTCATACCAGATGATCTGGCGGTCCCTTCTGCCCTTAGAATCTGACTTTGTGCCCCTCCTTTCTCTTTCCTGCTTCTCTGAAACGTTACTAAAAATGGTGGTAACTCTTCATCTGAGCAAAACCAAGAACCCCAAATATCAAGAATATTTTAGGGTGAGTTGACAAATTTGTAAAATATGGGAATATTGTAACACTGAAAGCTTCCAACAGTTCCCTGTTACTTATAAATTGTAGCAGCTATGTCAAGTTTGCTTCTGGTGTACCTATTCCGTAAA